AGCCCAACGACATCGAGGCCTTCCAGATCGAAGGCGACTGGTACTTTGTCATCGCCGACAGCTCCAAGGCGGGCTCCAACAGCCTCTCAACCAGAACGGCTTCTACCCCCACCAAGCCCTCCACGCCTGGCACCGCGACACGGACGTGGAATACGTGGAGAACGACGGCAAACCCCGGTTGATCATCTCCAGCAGCTCCCAAGCCCCCGTCATCTACCAGTGGAACCGGGCGCAGAAGCAATTTGCGCCCCAGGGGGAGGTGGGGGAGATGTTGGACGTGCAGATGGTGAAGCACTTCAGGGTGAAGCGGGACCAGTTCCTCTGCCTCAGCCGCTACATCGGCGACTCCAAGGTGGTGCGATGGGAAGGGCAGCGCTTCATCGAGCTCCAGACGCTGCCGTCCCGCGGCTCCATGGTGATGCAGCCCTTCTTGGTGGAGCACCGACAGTACCTGGCCCTGGGCAGTGACTTCTCCTTCACCCACGTCTACCTGTGGGAAGAGGAGAAGCAGAAATTCGTCAAGTTTCAGGAGCTGTCGGTGCAGGCGCCGCGAGCTTTCCGCTACGTGCCGGCTGCCGACGTGCAGCTCCTCCTGGCTCCCAGCTTCAAAGCCAACACGCTGGTCTACCGGCACGTGGTGGTGGACCTCAGCCTCTAGCAAAGGAGGCAGAGCCCGGGCTGCCCGTCTAGCCCCGACACGGCTCTCGCCTTCCCCGAGAGCTGCCTGCTCCCACCCGCGATGCGGATGGGATGCCCTGAGGAGGACGGGATGCTCAAGGCCAGAGGGATGCTCCAAGGATGCGGATGGGATGCCCTGAGGAGGACGGGATGCTCAAGGCCAGAGGGATGCTCCAAGGATGCGGATGGGATGCCCTGAGGAGGACGGGATGCTCAAGGCCAGAGGGATGCTCCAAGGATGCGGATGGGATGCCCTGAGGAGGACGGGATGCTCAAGGCCAGAGGGATGCTCCAAGGATGCGGATGGGATGCCCTGAGGAGGACGGGATGCTCAAGGCCAGAGGGATGCTCCAAGGATGCGGATGGGATGCCCTGAGGAGGACGGGATGCTCAAGGCCAGAGGGATGCTCCAAGGATGCGGATGGGATGCCCTGAGGAGGACGGGATGCTCAAGGCCAGAGGGATGCTCCAAGGATGCGGATGGGATGCCCTGAGGAGGACGGGATGCTCAAGGCCAGAGGGATGCTCCAAGGATGCGGATGGGATGCCCTGAGGAGGACGGGATGCTCAAGGCCAGAGGGATGCTCCAAGGATGCGGATGGGATGCCCTGAGGAGGACGGGATGCTCAAGGCCAGAGGGATGCTCCAAGGATGCGGATGGGATGCCCTGAGGAGGACGGGATGCTCAAGGCCAGAGGGATGCTCCAAGGATGCGGATGGGATGCCCTGAGGAGGACGGGATGCTCAAGGCCAGAGGGATGCTCCAAGGATGCGGATGGGATGCCCTGAGGAGGACGGGATGCTCAAGGCCAGAGGGATGCTCCAAGGATGCGGATGGGATGCCCTGAGGAGGACGGGATGCTCAAGGCCAGAGGGATGCTCCAAGGATGCGGATGGGATGCCCTGAGGAGGACGGGATGCTCAAGGCCAGAGGGATGCTCCAAGGTGGATGCAGATGGGATGCCCTGAGGAGGACGGGATGCTCAAGGCCAGAGGGATGCTCCAAGGTGGATGCAGATGGGATGCCCTGAGGAGGACGGGATGCTCCAGGCCAGAGGGATGCTCCAGGCTGGTGGGATGCTGCCGAGGCGGTGCCACCACCCGCAGAAGCAGCGCTGGCCTGCTCCCGTCCCTCTCCGTGCATGTCCAGCAGCTCCCTCTGCCCATGGCCCCCCGCGGTCCCGCTGCCGGGCAGGACCCAGCGTGCCAGCCGTACCCGAGGTGTACGCGCCTGCTGAAACGCTCCCCACAATAAACACACTGTGACACCCCACCCTGCCTGCGTCTGCCCACGGCCGCCCTGCGTCCAGCCATGGCTGGCATCCCCCTGCCCGGGGGTCCCCCTGCAGCTGGGGGTCCCGCTGCACAAGCCCCACTGAGCGAAGGAAGAGGGAACCCCTTATTTTAGAGTCCTCCAGGCCCTGCACGGGGCTTTCCTGCTGTTTTTTTTTTTTTTTTTTTGCCGCAGATGCCTCAGCCCGTGGCTGGGAAGGGGAAGGAGGAGGTGTTTCCCCGGGGAGGGGAGTCCCAGCTGGATCCCGAGCTGCACCCCGAGCTGTGCCAGCCCCCCAGCAGCCGCCCGGCTGGTTTTCCAGGGGAGCGTTTCCCTGTCCCCCAAGGTATATATAAATATGCATGCGAAAAACCACCAATTAAGCTCACAAATAAAAATCCTCTCAAAGGTAACAGGCACCTCCGGGGCACAGCCGGCTTTTGGGAGCAGGCTTTGACCTCGGCGGCTACAGAGCCTGAACCCTGTCCCTTTCCCCGGCACGGCCCCGCTGTCGGATCCGGTGCTGCCGTGTGGTTGCCACGTGTCTGGTGGCATCGCCGCGCTTCTCTGCCTCAGTTTCCCTGCAGGGAAAGGGCAGATTTTAAATCCAGGTGGGAAGTGCAGGGCGTGGTGCAGAGGGATGCTGGCACCCCCCGGTACTGGGATGGAGGCGCTGGGCTGCCCTGGACCGCTGCTGGGGACGCACGGCCAAGGGGAAGGCAGCCCAGGGAGGCGACGCCAGATCCACCGGAGAGGACTTTGAGCTCCGCTCTTGTTCCAGGAAGAAGCAGCGGCTTCTATTTTCTGCCCAGGGACCCACACC